GTATGACGCCGCCGGCCCATCCCCGTTCGCCGCAGCGCATCTCATGCCTGAGGCAGCGGCACCCCAACCGCCAACCCCCGCCGCCTCGTCTCTCCACCCTCCTGCTCCCTCCCTCCCCAGCTCGCCACTCCCCAAAGGCCCACAGCCATCAGCCCCTACACCTTCCTGCCTGCCGCTCCTCCAGCCCTTTCCCGTTTGACCCCCTGCGCCCTGTGTTTGACCCGACGCGCCCTGTGTTTGACCGCCAGGTGTACGGCGGCCTGGTCTACATGGACTTTGACCGAACCCGCATGAAGCGCCGCGGCCACGGCAAGTACGAGCCGCTGCCCCCGCAGCTGCTGCCGCGCCTGTGGCTCGTCCTGGCCGACAACCCCAGCGACAGCGGCCGGGTGCACAGCGACGTCAAGCGGCGGTGGGTGGAGGGGGATCCGGAGGTCCACGAGAAGATGGCGCTGTTGGCGGCCTGCGCGGAGGAGGGCAGGTGGGGAATTGGGGGCGCGCAGCGCGGTGCGGCGCCGTCGCGGGGACGGTCGGGGTCGCTGGGGGTTTGGGAGGGGGCGAGGGCGAGCGTCGCTGGGGGCACCAGGGGGCAGGGAAGTCAGGGGTCTGACGTGAGCTGTGGCGCGCGGGACGGGACCCCTGCTGCAGCCGTTGGTGTGCTCAAGACCAGCAGATTTGCTCTTGCAACCCATACGTGCGCGCACGTCCGCGCACACACACACACACACACACACACACACACACACACACACACACACATACACACTCTCACTCCCAGGCTGGCCCTGGAGCTAGGGGACCATGGCAAGCTGGCGCAGCTCATGGACCGCAACTTCGACCTGCGCAGGCGAGCGCGGGTGCAAGGTGCCCACACACGCAGGCCACCCCTAGCCGCCCTCGCATCGCCCACGGCTCCACGCCCCCGCGGAGCCGCCGCCTGCACCCCGCCGCAGGCCGGCTCGGGGCTGCTGCTCCTCATGCGCCCCTCTCATGCACCCACTCTCCCACTTACTGTCCTGCCTGTCACACACCCTGAGAGGCAATGAACCCATGCCGCCAAAAAACGTCCAGGGAGCTGTTTGGGGACGCGGCCCTGGGGGACCTCAACCTTCGCATGATCAACGCTGCGAGATCGGTGGGCGCGGCGGCCAAATTCACGGGCAGCGGTGGCGCGATCGTGGCGTTCTGCCCGATGGGGGAGGAGCAGGAAGTGCTGCTGCAAGGTATGCGTGTGTCTGTGTGTGTGAATCTGTGTGCTTGTGTGTGTGTTGATGGGTGCAAAGTGCTTGTGCGTGTGTTGATGGATGCAAAGTGCTGATGTGTGTGTGTTGATGGATGCAACGTGCTGATGTGTGTGTGTGGTGATGGGTGCGAGGCGAGTGTGTGTGTGTGGGTGTGTGTGTGTGTGTTTGTGTGCGCGCGTGTGTGTTGGCGGGTGTGAGATGTTTGCGTGTGTGGGTAAAGGCGATGAGGTCCTGTGCTTAGGACTGCGTGGGATCTGGCCAAGTGTTGGGCGCTGCACTGAGCTCCCCTGTCTTGTGAGCCCACACCAGCATGCGCCTCGTGCTGCGAGTTGAGGTCGCGGACACCTGACTGCACTCTCCACCTCGTCCTGTCCCCATGCTTGCACACGCACACGCGCGCGCGCACACACACACACACACACACACACACACACAAACACACACTCTCTCTCCCTCTCTCACACGAACGCACACCCTGCGCTCATCCAGACATCTGTGCGGCGGAGGGCTTCACAGTGGTGGAGGTGCAGGTGGCACCCCCCACCAGCGAGCAGGGCTGAGCCGGGGGTCCGCGGCGGCGGCGACTGCCGGCCGTCTGTGGGTGATGTGTGTGCGTGTGTGGGGGGGGGGGCGGGCCTGCGCCGCCGCGCCGCGGCGTGTGGCTGTGGGCGCGCCCGCTCGCCGCCGTCTTCATTCGGCGCTGCTTTGGGGCGTCACGCTGTCCGCCTGCCGGCATAAGCCCTGTGGTATTGCCAATTGTTTGGGGCTTGGACCGCCGTTGAGGGCCGTAACATCATATCATATCATATAACATGATTGTTTCTGGCCTCACCATCAGTTGTGACTGCGCCTCTCTTTGCCGTCCTGCACAACCTTCTTTTGGAATGCACGCGTTTGCTGGTGCACGGCTTGCTTGGTTCTGTTTTAAAGGCTTGCTCCGCGTCTGGCTGTGTGTTGGGGCCGGTCGCCAATTCTTGGCGGCTGTTGCGAGGCATATTGCTGCCAGCACGGCTGCCGAGGTGGGCAGCACTCGAGACCGCCGCGCGCTCGCCGCCGTGCAGATGTATGTAACCGGCGGCTCCTCCACCCTTGACTTACTATCGCTGCTGGCCAGGTGCGGACTGTCCATTTCGACCGGCCCGCTTGACCCCAGGATCTCGGCGGCAGCTGGGTGAAGCTGGCAGACCCCAGAGCACCTTGACACCATGTGAGGCGGAACCTGCCAGTTCTCTGCCTAGGAGCCGCCCGTGCCCTCACAACTTTCGGCTTCAGCGCGGCTGGGGCGGGCTAGGCCGTCCCCAAGCCCAATCAATTCCTTTGCCAAACACAGGCTGCGCTTTTGCAAGCGATCTGATGATCTGGTGATCTGACGCGCCGGGCATTACAACGGCCCCTTCCTCCCGAGCTCCTCCAGCTGCGCCACGAACTCGTCCCCGCCCAGCAGCTCCGTCGCGCCGTACAGCACCTGCCGCGCCC